AACTCTTTCCTGACTTAACCTAGCATAATAGGTTAGTGTGGATGCTGGAAACATTTCTCCAGATTAGTGAAGTAATGCCTTCAGATTAATATATTTTGGTATTTCTCCATAGCACTGTATTATGATTAAGTAACTTGCCCTGTTCCTAGCTTAGACACTTACTGGGCCTCTCACTTTACTGAAAGATGAGCCAGTATGTCCAACTGGTCTACCCTCCAATATATGTCTGGAGGAATATTAAAAGAAATTTTGTATATTTCAAATTTGTCAGCTTTGCAGACACACCCAGCAATGGGAAGCCATAGTGGAATTCTAAAGTTATACAGAAAAAAAGGGATGACTAGTCATTGGAAGAAAACCCAGATAGCGGCACATTAGCATGTTTTCAGTCTTCGTAAAGCTAGCTCCTCCTATGCTGTACTTCAACTTTTAGTTAATTATGTTCATCAATTCTTTGACACATGACACAAAAACATATGGTACAGTCTTACACTAAATAATACTTTATAATTAGGTTAAGAAAGAATGCTGTTTATTCTTTGTGAATGTCTCTTTTGAGTTAGCAGCATTATTTATCAAAAGGAAAACATGGTTACCATGGCTTTATTGGAGTGGCCTCCTCCTTGGAACTCAATGGTTCCAAAAGCATCCGTTGGGCTGAGCTGTGTGTGTTTACTGATGGACCACTTCTCTGACTGGATGTCATTGCGAGTAAGCCTGCTTTCATTCTTCTCATTCTGAATAACAGAGATGCTTGGAGTCAGTCCAACATGTTGACCTATTAGACGTCCACAGCAACACCTATGACATTAAACAGAAAAGTTGAGTCACGTGTGTGTATAAATCTAACAGGCAAACAAACTATCCTACGAATCTTTAAAAAACTGCCACCCCTTTTCAACTCTGTTGGTCACTTTCCTGCTATCTGAACCCTCTACTTGTGGAAGCAACATAGTACAGATAGCATCTTTTCTTTCTATGACCATGTTTACTTTGGACTTTCTTATATTTTAAAAAAATCATGCTCTGTTCTAAATATGTACAAAATATATACATTTTCTACTGCCTTCAGAAAACATTAGGCCAAATAGTCAGCTTTTTCATGGATTAGCACATATTTGAAATTTGTAGTTCATTGCAATTATTTTAACAGCATTGTGTGTCATGCATTCAATTTAGATAAATATTCAAGGCACTGAATATTGAACTAAGAAGATAAGGAGATTAAACATAGATGCTGATCTACCTTTGATTTATCTTGTTTTAGACAAAATAAATTTTGAAACATAAATAAGTAGTGTCCTTAGGAATCCATCACTCCAGCTGTTATTCAACCATCTTCTGATAAAAGAAGTCTTTATAAACTATATCCATATACATACGTATGCACATGTATATATAAACATTTTCTTGTAACTGACTTTCTTCTTTTATGCAAGTAGCATGCAATTACCTATGGGGGTCTTTGGTGCTGGGTATGATATGAACACATTCTCTTTTGTAAAATGCTCTTTCTATCCATGATTTCTGTGCCTAAAAAAAGAGAAAGGAAATCCCATGAGCTCTGTTTGTTTATTAAAAACAACTTACAGTATAACTGAAGAGAAACTTCAAACATAGAAGAAAACGTTACTGACTTTGCAGATACACAGTGCACAATTTGCACAAAGCAAACATCTTCCATTAAAACTACGGTTTCTTTCTAGAGCTAAGTATGCAACACAGGCTCTTAAGATTGTCCTCATATTCACTAGCTGGATGACTGATGCTGTCATCTATATTCTCATAGCAAGAATCACTGGAGAAGAATTATTTCAATCTGCAAAGCTTTCTGTGTGGTACAGACAAACTGCGCTTATTCATTAAAAATATTTTGGAAAAATTTATTCCATTTTAATGATACAACCAACTCAACTCTTATTTAAAAAAAAAAAAAAATCTCACGAACTAGAAAATAAATATCTCACAATAAGACTTGTAACAGCATGAGTCCAGTGTTTGGTTTGGGGTTTTTTTCCCATACAAATACTGACAGTGCTGCTTAACACGGAACCAGAAGATTATAGTTTCATATGTGAACATCTTAAAGAAAAGAGAGAAGATCAGCTTCTGAAATGAGACACAAAAATCTTTGATACCTTAACAGTCAGATGACCAGCTCATGTAATGTCTACAACAGACTGAGTTTAATGAAGCTATGTCTGTTCATAACACTTCCCCCATATATTTGCAGGAAAGCAAGTAATTTCCCTCAGCCTAGTCTTAATTTTCAGATACACAAGAGATCTTTTTTAAAAAAAAGAAAAGGAACAGAAGAACCCCAAAAACCAAGAGACTTTCAGTATTCTGAAACCTTTTTAATTACCTAGACAGTCCTCACTCCACATAATATGAACTCTGGCAAGCTCTCGAAAAGATCATCCCAAACAGAATACAATTATTTCATTTAACATGGAGATGAGTTGAAACTTTCCTTTATAAGTTAATTTCAAACAGATAAGTTTTATAAAACATATTTAAATAATAAAATTATCTATTTCCTTGCACAACATAAACAGAACTATAAACTTTGAACTACGACCAAGTAATCTGAGAGTTAAGTAATGTGAAATGAGCTTTAGGTAATTTAAAGCAAATCTGAGCATCTTGCCTCTTTAAAAAGACAAAATATGAAATTGCCTTGATAACATCACCTAGGTAACTAATGTTACTTTTTACTATGTCAAGTTAGGCAGTTTGTTAGTATTACCTTTACTAACTAATGTTACTTTACTATCTAATCTAATCTTAGCTTCTTTTTTAAATGTAAACCTAACTCTAATCTGTATCCTGTTTTTCATCTTCAAACCTAGAAACCTGTGCCTCTGGGACATTTGAAAATAATTTGAAAATGATTGTGAACCGTAGTTATTTCTTGGAGTCAATGATTGTCACTACTATAAACTCTAAAGTACCATAATAAGAATTTCTAGCTACATTCACTATTTATCAATCTCAGTGCATAGAAACTTATTCTTTTGCCTGATTTACAGAATATAATCCCTTACTGGATCTAGTGGTTACTCACATTACATAATAATATTTTATCTTCGCTCTACTTGTATTTGTATTTGAAAAATCTACTAGACATATTTTTTAGGAATGGCAGACACACTAATATGACTTTTAGATTCAATAAGAAGAAAAGTGTATTAAAAACATTAAATAGGACTGTATTTGATTGATTCTCCTTATTGCAGCAAATGAAAAGTTAATATAGAATATGTGGCAAGGTTTGTTTCATGTTTAAGCAAAGAACAGCCTTCTGAAAAATCTAGAAAAGTTTTACTTACATATGAGAGATTACCTTGAAGTTCTAATTTATTATAGCTTCTAAACTCTTGTAAGCCTATGAAGCAGGCAATAATCATCATCATCACAACATTGTATATTATACAGTCAAATCAGATGAGAAGTCTAGTGCATCATTGAGTATTTTTTCAATTTAGTACTCTTTTCAGGCAAAGAAAGGTTTTTTATAAACTAACTTTGTAGAAATGTCAAGACATTCAGACTGAACTTTATGAACTTCATTTGACCCTCTTACTGCATGATTTTTGAAGGTAACCTACGTGGGAAAATTAGAGGTTTTCTTTTTGTTAAGCATTGTAGAGAAAAAATGAAGTTATAATTATTATTCAGGTATTGCAATGCTAACATTTAAATTACATACTTTAAGGACCACACATTTTTGAAATTTCTCTCCTTTGAGCTCCAAGAGTACACAAGCTTTCTATATTGTGTGTCACAAAGACACACACTGATAAGAAGCTGGAAATGTATTAATTCCCTCAGTCATATATATAGAGAGAGCAATTTTCTGACAGAAAAAAATGCCTACAGAATAATGCCAGTTTTATCTTGATGGTTGTTTGTTTTCACACTAAACACATTTCTGTGATATCCTTTATCTTCTCTAGAAAGCATAAAATACTTTTATAAGCTAACTTTCTTCCTGGCATCCAAAATCAGATCCCAGTGCGGAGCTTACATAATATATGATTATCAGCCATGTTGCCAAGACTCCCTAAAAATATCTTTCAGTAAATTTCATGGATTTTGCATACATTTCTGCAAACAATTTACCTTGGTGAATTTACTTACTACATAGACCTAATGTATTTTTTCTAAAAGTGAACACTAATTCAACTTCTCTAAGCCTCAAGGTTCAATATAAAAAGGTGCCATAACAGGTACTTGAGTGAAAACTTTTTTCTTTAGTTATAGAAGTAGACTTTCAAAACTCAAGAAAGGGACATTTGAAGTTTGATTTGTCTTTGCAAGTAGAAAAGAAACCGAGCTTTGTTAACTATAATAATATTTTGTATTTGAATTTTCATCATACTTAAAATGTAGTACTGAAAGAATGCTTTGATTTTAAAAGTCCTCTATTCACATCAGGAAAAAAGACTTTTCAGCTTTTAGATTTCAAACAATACACTATCCTACCTGACAGAGTCATAATACCAAAATACAGGAATTATTAATTTCATATCTCCTTGTCCTTTCAAACTGAAAAAAAAGCATCTGGTTTCACTGCCCCATGCCAGTTATCTTTCTGTGAGAGATAACTTGCAATGAAATACAAGGTTCAGAGGTAAAGTAAGTTATGCTACTTGCCCTAGACTCTTCATAACAAAATCACACTAATGAGGAAATCAACACATTCATAACAAACCAGTCTGCATTAAAATTTTGTTTATAATGTGAATTAATAAAGTAGTAAAAAGTTCAGAAAAGTATAGCCAAGTTTTTTTCAGAAATAAAGCAAGAAGTTGATCTTCTCTTTCTCTTATTTCATAAATATGAATTCTTAAGACAATTTAAAGTCCACCATGAATTCCTGAAGTACCTGCCATACTTATACTTGGATTTAGCTTACTCAGATCTCTATGTTAACCCTCTCTTTTTATTAGCCTATCTGCAAAATCCCACCACGAACATGTTTTCTTCCTCTTCTTTACCTGAGCATCAAACTTGTTGTTGAAGTCTCTCCCGGAGCAAACTCTGTGTCCACATTTACCTGCTGCCGATCATTGCTAATAACACATTTGTGACCGTGCCCCAAACAAGTTGCTCAGCCCATCTGCAGCACAGAGATGTGAGTGTGAGTGAAGCCCTTGCATCCATTAGCTGCTTGGAATGTGCTGCTGTGGGATTAGCCTTGTTAAGGGTTTGCTGGACCTGCAGCCCCACAACACCTCTTGGTTTGAACATCTAAACTGATGCCAAAATTAAAACAAATCCCTTGAGACCTTGGATTTAATTTGCACAAGCCTTGATGGGTTTTTCTCCCTTCTTCTTTCTCCCTTAGAGAGTGAGCTTGTGAAAATGTGATAAGGTGTTCTCTGAGTTCTTAAATTCAACCGAGGACAACAAACTCTTCAAAAGAAACTGTATGAAATGGAAAGACCCTGAGCACCCAAGAGAAATTGTTAATCTCTGACGAATGAAACCGGTGTGTTTGGTAACTATAAGAAGTCTACACACAGCTGAAATATATTGCAAGTAATCACTATGGCATTAAAAGAAAACAAAAATGGGGATTGTCACTGTTTCTTACCACAGTTGCTGAACTACAGTGTATGTAACTTTTCAGAAAGTCATGAACATAAACCTTTGTCTTTCATGGACAAACAGCTGCATTGTTTCCGGTTTAATTAAATGTTAGCAACAGGAATGTTGACAAATTTGAGGACTACTTCTTTACTGTACCCTCTTGATACCAATGCTGAAGAACAACCTTTCTAGATTTTTTTTTTTTTAGTACATAGCAATTATATGTGTTCAATTGCTTTCTTCAAGGTTTCCCAAATATAAAATATCTTTACTCTGTCACCACCCCGCCATGTTTGGATTAATTCCTCTCTACTGCTACATATGCATACATACCCCTCCTTTCCTTTTCAGTAAGTCTGCATCTAATGCATGGAAAGCATTCTGTCCA